TATGTTACTTTTACTTCATATGAGTTCGAAAAACACGCCTTAATAATTTAAACATTACACTTTTTTACTCTGGTCTATCCTTTAAAAATAAAGATAATTATAATTAAAAACCAATTGTTCAGAGAACAATTGAAGGTCTTTCCTCCCATAAAGATCTATTTTGATATAGATCTATTAAAATTCGGTTTAAAATATCATATCCAGCATCAAATGATAGCTTATTGTACACTGATTCCAAAAATATATGGTTTCTATACATTTTTTTCTAAATAATGGAGATACATTATTACTTCCGGTTTGAAAAATGTCACATTCGTTTTTTTTTTTATAGCTTACTTGATTCCAAAAATATATGGTTCAATATACTTTTACATTAAATAAGTACAAAAAAATAGCTACTTCCGGTTTACACATGGTCACTTCCGGTTGGCATTTCCATGGTCAAGTGGCTTGCAACGTAATGCAAAAAGTCCCATGGCTTTATCATGTATACATATGAGGTAAAAGCAAAGGTCAATATCTAGAACGTCAATTTTTTCTATGACCTTAAGCTCAATTTCAAGGTCATAAACCAAGGGCTTCAAATCAAAAGACCATAGGTCTTAATTATATATGGTTAGTGAGTTATATCACTATATGCCTAATTTTTAATATAAGAGGGGAGAAAACTCCAATCTAATGTTAGTGTACCCTTTCAACCAAAATTATGTGTTACGACATGTCGCAACTTACAATTAAGTAAAAATATGTTATCGATATCTTATACGGTTTTTTAAATGAATTGAAAATAAGCCAAAATCAAAATTTAAAATATGACCTTGACCTCTGACCTTGACCTTATTTTCTTTTTTTTTGGACCAAGGACCTCAAATCAAAAGATCCTAGGTCTCTATCACTTATGGTTTACAAGATAGAAATGCATATCACTTATATCAAATGCATAAGGGGAAATAACTCTCATATGGAGTGTTCGTATGGCTTCGGTCAAAATTGGACAAATCATGCGAAGGATATAACGAGCAATTTTATAAAATAAATTTGTCGCTTTCTTATACGGTTACGGAGGAGATGCAGTCACAAGGAAAACAGTGTTCGGGGAGATAACTCCTACAACGAAAAATATTCTGTAACGCAGGGTGAATTTCAAAGGCGCATAAACTGTTCGATATCATATACCAAACATCTAAGCTACATCTTGCCTAACAAAATTCATAAGCAAGAAATAAAAGTGGCAGAAGAAGAAAAAAAAAATAAATATAAATCAATTGTTGAACGGTCTTTCCCCTCCGAAACATGATTAATTGGTTTTTTGGTTGGTTGGTTGGTTGGTTGGTTGGTCGGTTGGTCGATTGATTGATTGATTGATTGATTGATTGCATGGCACTTTCTCTGTGCGACGCAGCTTACTTAAATAACGCCTATATTCTGACCGAACGTGACTGCGTACTTATACATCCCGCACAGCCAAACGGACGCCTGAGATGTCCTCATAAAAATTGATCCTAGCATCATTCGTTTATAAATTTTCTCTAGTTTCTATGTTACCTCGGACTTCCATTTTTCATCTATTTGTTGTGTATGCATTTTGATTGAATTTGTAGGAAAACGGAGTAAATTTTATCTTGGAAGTTTTATTTTCCTTATTTGGATATGGAATGTTTTATTCTAAATTTAGGTCCGCGCGAGAGATGGTGTTGTGAAGTCACGTGACCCTCGAATATATATGTCTGGAGTTAGAATATTAGGGGAGACCGTTGAACAGAGCACATGTGTACTGATTGGACAAACATGATCACTATTGGTTTTATAATTACAGGTCATTGATGACGGATCATGCATGCATCTTACGTATACATGTTTACGGGAGCACAGATTTGTATTTTAATGCATGATTAAAAAATCTGATTGTAGGATTTCAGCAATATTTACGATTTTTCTACGTCATTGAATTTTATTTCTCAATCAAGCGGACCGCGTCTAACGGGAACATGAATTGGAGCCGATTTTTGCAGGAATGAATTTCTATTAAAGAAGTTTGTACATCAGAAGGATTGCATTTTTACAGTAAAATGTACAGGACTGAACTTCAAGGCGAAATGGGATTCTTCAAAGTAGAAGAAAAAAAAAAATAGAAAAAAAAGGGGGGAGGTGGCGGATGGTGGACCTTGGTTGATAAATTAAGATAAGATGCATGTATACATGATGATAAGTTCATTTTGTTCATTTTACTATTTCAGTGGCATGGAACCCCTAAAACAATGACGTTTACCATTTTGACAAAAACGTTCCAGTTATATCATGTCGCGACTAACATTTTGGTCAATTTTTTTTTATACGTCTTACGGTTTACGTGTTACAAAAACATAACGACAAATTAATTTGGTAAAGGCAGATAACTCCTTTAAGATCTCACTAGATCGCTTCGATCCAAATTAGGCAAAAATTCCTGAGGATGTAACAAACAATTTAGAAAAAGAATTTTGTCGATATCTTTTTTTGTTACGAAGGAGATGCACACACTTGATAAACAGTGAATAGGGAGATAACTCTTACAAAGAAAATTGTTCGTCTTAGCAGGGTGAAATTTAAAAGCGCATAACCTATACGATACAATATGAGAAATATCTAAGCGACATATTGCGAAACAAATATTTATCGCGAGAACAAAATTAGGCGGAAGAAAAAAAAAAATAATCAGAAGAAAACCAATAGGTCTTTCCACAGAAAAGTGGAAAGACCTAATAATAATTATTATATTAATGATAAACTCCTTATTCTAATTGAGTATACACAATGTAAGTTGCAAGAAACTAAGCTTCCCTAAGGCTTTCTTATACAAATTTCAAAACATCAAAAATATATTAGTACTTAGTGATAAGTTACAACAATAAAGTACTAGATCAATGTTAAATTAAATAAAATAAATTAACTGTTTGCAAAACTTTGAATACTAGATCAATGTTCAATTAAATTAAATAAATTAACAATTTGCAAAACTTTAAATGTTTCTAAATGCTAAGGATTCTCTCCCCCAGGAATAGATTACCTAAGCTGTATTTGACAAAACAAAGAATAAAGTACTAGATCAATGTTAATTTACCATAATAAAGTACTAGATCAATGTAATTTACAATAATTAAGTACTAGTTCATTGAACTAGTACAGAACAAGTACACATTTTTGTTTAGGGGCCAACTAAAACCCGCTTCCGGCTGCGGGATTTTTTCGCTGTGTTGAAGAACCATTGGTGGCCTTCGACTGTTTTCTGCTCTTTGGTCGGGTTGTTGTCTCTTTGACACATTCCCCATTTCCATTCTCAATTTTATAGATCAATGTTAGTTTACAATAATAAAGTAATAGATCAATGTGTCATTATCAAAACAGTTTTAAAAAAGGTACTTGTAGTTAAATGAAAAAAAAATATACAGATCAAAATAATATATAGTAGAAACAGTAACTTAACAGGACTGTGTCATGACTTCTTGATTCTTTGTTTAAAAAAAGAAGTAATACTAAGTTATTTTACAAAGAATTGATGGATGGTAGGATTCCATAAGGAAAATTATAAAAGAGGAAAAAGGCGTTTAAGCTACTTGCACAATTTATCAATTACCAACCAAACAGCTAGTTATCTTAAAACAAGTAGGCCTGGGCATGGCCAATGAGGAGATAACTCAAGTATGATCTTTAGGGTCAACTCTGTTTTTTGGAAAGTGGTTGAGGCGGTAAACCTATATACATTGTTTTTTGGCGAAAACCTATTTCGTAATGTTTTATATTATTTATTCATTTAGATTCATATGTTTTGTTATAATTATTATAATTTTTAAAGTTTTGTTTTGCAAATTCTTTTATATTGTACTAATTAAATAATATTATTTTTTTCAATATAGAAAGGAGCAGAAACAACTTGCATCGCGTTGAATTTACCTTTTCCCTTTTGCCAATTGAAGCCTACATTGCACTTGTCTAAAAGTAATATTTGGATTTGAAAATGACAAAAGAATTTTGACCATTTATTGCATTGTTGTTGACTTAATAGGAATCTGAAAGTTCGAATGCCTATGCATGACATATCGATAGGACATGCTCATTGGATTCGCTAGCTTCTTTTAACTTCTTTTTTCATTCGTCGTCATACGTCTTTTCGTCGCCATATAACTTCAATGAAAAATGAAATTGGTAAAAATAAATTTACCGGGTTAGTCCGACAAACTAGTATTTAACAAATAGTTATAGTACATGAGAAAAAATAAACTTTTGTACTAGTTATTAAGCTAAAATAAACCAACTATAATGTTATAAACTTTTACGTATCATGATACGTATGTTTACAAAAACAATTGATTTTTTGTTTTTTAATAGAGGTCGGTCATTTAAAAACGTATCAACCGTATCATATACGTTGACGTATACGCATCTGCAGATATACCAAAAACTATTAAGTGATCCCGAACTCAAGACTTTTATACGTTTTCCCTCTTTCCCTCTGGTATCTTTCGCCCCTCTTTTGCAACAATTAAGTCAGCTACACAATTAAATACTAGCATTAGAAATTAATCAGTTGCCCATCTGCATTATTGAAAGAATATACAATTAAAGCTCGGGATCAAATAATGTTTTTTGGTAAATCTGCAGATGCGTATACGTCAAAGTATATGATACGGTTGATACGTCTTAAAATGACCGACCTCTATTCGGCTATGTTATGTTATTATACCATTCCATATATACGTGAACAAACTTATTACTGTTGCGGATTATTTTATGGGATCAATAATTCCTCCACAATGTTTTCATAATGAAGATTCAATGACTTATAATTTAAGATCACAGAAGAGATGTATTCTTTTAGTTTGAATTTATCTGAGATAATGATTGACTGTAGGTGTTGCTGAATCAATCACGTGATATTCCGCTATGCATTTAAAAGACGCAAGTTCTGTCCATTTCTCCCTGAAGTCTACAAAACCATTTTACAGTATTATAAATCTTTCGAAATGAATAGCAATGCGACGTGTATAGACAATATCACAACTGTTACACCGTTAGTCAGATTAGAATATTTAGTACTACCCGTAGAAACTGTTCGTTTAGTTAGAAATATTTGTTATCTTGGAATTACACCATGTTTGGTAATCATTGGACTAATTCTGAACTTATTTTGTTTTATGCTGTTTTGTAAAATAGGGAACAGATCTTCAACTGTTATCATGTTATTTGCAATAACAGTAACAGATGTTTTTACATTAGTGAACGGAGGTCTCAATTCTATATTTTATGCTTCACAAACGTATGAGGTGCCTCTCACTAAAGACCAACAGAGAATTACAGCCCCTATATATTCTACATACTTGAATTCTCTTCCTGGAAGAATCGGAAACTTTATCACATTCCTTATTTCACTTGAAAGGCTTTTCTGCGTATTGCAGCCACTGAAGATCCGTATGTACTCGACCAAGCGAAACTCATATATTACTGTATGCGTGGCATTCATTTTACCAGCAGTCTCCGGTATACCAAATCTGTTCCTTTATGATACTGAAAAGGTTTTTTCAAATATCACAGGTCAGTTTACAACCGTTTTAAAAGCAACATCTTATGGTAAGGATAAAGAACTAACAAATACAGTATACATAACACAGGAAATATTATGGCGTTATCTACCTGTCATTGGGGTTACTGTCTCAAGTTCAATCACCGCAATGTTGGTTTTATTGAATGCTAAACGTCGTTTAATAATGGCTATAGCTAGCATAAAATCCAGACCAGAGAGTCACACTATGAATAGAGAAAGCCAGGTCACAAGAATGTTGTTGGTTGTAACTATCGTATTTGTTCTATGTCAACTGCCAGGAACCATACTACGTATGATCATAAATATCCACCCTGCCATGACTCCTATGCGTTACTTAAACAATGTATACGAAGTTGCATTCCCGATAACATATGTTATGTTACTCATTAACTCAGTCGTGAATTTCATCATCTATTACAATACGAGCACTATATACAGGGCAAAAATAAGGCAAATGTTCAACTGGTCGTCATCTGATAAAAAGAAGAGTACTTATTCAATGTCTTATAGTCATACTAACTGTTCCTTTATACCCGATCACAAAGACAGTGATTTCTAGCGACTCGGACATTTCAAACACTACCTTTACTGTGAATTTATCGTATTATGTGAGTAATCTGTAACTGTTAATCAATCAATGGCAATGTTTCACTTATACTTATTGATGTACTAAAATTGTTTGTCGTTTTATGGTATTATCGTTTACTCGTGTTTAGTACAATTACTGTATGAATGACTATAATTATTTTCTTTTATACATACATGTAGTATTAATGGCTTCTTTTTATTGTTATTGAAAATAAAATTTGAGAAATGTTTAACAGTTTTATAACTCCATTTTAGGAATGGGAATATATTGCAATTAACTGGTCTGTTCATTTCGGATCTGTCGGATACCATCGTCCTATTTGTTATTTCTAATATGTTAATTGCACTGAAATTTTTTTCTTCACATTTTTACTATATTACTCAACAGAATGACTTAATATTTGGTCAGCTAAACAGAAATGATGAGTTGTACATTACATTACAACTGCGCTCATTTTGGATATGTCATACACCTACTTTCTGATGACGAGTTGGGTATGTTTAGCACGGCAACGCGCGAATACTTGTTATCAATAGGTGAAGAAAAAAAAAAAAAAAACTCCAAGGTAAATTTTACTGGGCCAGCAATTAATTGAAAATGTACATTGACTTTGTCAGAAATGAAAATAGAATTAAAGATACAATAAAATATACCCTGGTACAGCATAAATCAAAAACAAAAACAAGCAAAAAAGAATCAATTCAAAACATAAAACAAAGTTTTTGAATTGAAACGAACAAACATAAATGAGTTCAAATCTTTTTCTGTTTTAACATTAGGTAGAAAGTTAAGAAAGTTAAGATATAGCAGTTAAAAGAGCGACAAAAATAAGAAAAAAAAAAAAGAAAAAAAAATTGCGAATTTTTTTCATTGAATATCATGAATATATTGTTCTATTTCTCAACAGGAATCTTCAGTTTTATTAAATGGCGGAAGTCATTAATTTTGAATAGTGAAGATAAACAGATTTCTTGATGAGAAAAAAAACAACATAGTCATGGATTACGACCCAGCGTTTGTTTGATATATAAAAAGTACCATTTCGGGACTAATCTTTTTTCAAAACTTCAATTAATGATTTTGGCGGGAAAAAAAAAGAAACAAAAAAAAAAAGAAACAAGTAAAAATATGCTAATAACATTAAAAGAGAGGCGAAAGATACCAAATGGACATTCAAATTCATAAGTCAAAAATAAACTAACAACGCCATGGCTAAAAAAGAAAAAGACAAATAGACAAACAACAGTACAGAAAACACAACGGTAGAAAACTAAAGACTAAGCAACATGAATCCAACCAAAACTGGGTGTGATCTCATTTACTTTACCGATGGTTTATTGATTTGATGTTGTCTTAGGTTTAGATACGAGTCAATTACCAATCAATACTAATCTACGTATTTTTTATGATTAACCGAAGGATGTCGAATGTGGAGCAGGATCTGCTTAACCTTCCAGAGCACTGGAAGGTTAAGCAGATCCTGCTCCACATTCGACATCCTTCGGTTAATCATAAAAAATACGTAGATTAGTATTGATTGGTAATTGACTCGTATCTAAACCTAAGACAACATCAAATCAATAAACCATCGGTAAAGTAAATGTTCTTATCCTTAAAAAGAGAGGCGAAACATACCAAATGGACATTCAAATTCATAAGTCAAAAATAAACTAACAACGCCATGGCTAAAAAAGAAAAAGACAAATAGACAAACAACAGTACATAAAACACAACGTAGAAAACTAAACACTAAGCAACATGAATACAACCAAAACTGGGTGTGATCTCAGGTGCTCTGGAAGGTTAAGCAGATCCTGCTCTACATTCGACATCCTTCGGTTAATCATAAAAAATACGTAGATTAGTATTGATTGGTAATTGACTCGTATCAAACCCTAAGACAACATCAAATCAATAAACCATCGGTAAAGTAAATGTTCTTATCCTTAAAAAGAGAGGCGAAAGATACCAAAGGGACATTCAAACTCACAAGTCGAAAATAAACTGTCATTACCATGGCTAAAAATGAAAAAGACCAACAAACACAAAATAGTACACAAAACACAAAATAAAAAACTAAAGACAGAGCAACACGAACCCCACCAAGAACTGGGGGTGACCTCAGGTACTGCGGAAGGGTAAGCCGATCCTGCTCCACATGTGGCACCCGTTGTCTTAGTAAATTTTGACTCTTTCTGTTTAATTGCATTCGATATTTAGTCCAATGTTTATTTTTATCACTTTCAAAAGATTGGATTTGGAGTTATCTGAAATAGAACATTTGTTTTATGTCGCCACCTCACCCTCTGTCCCGATTTCATATAAAACGCTATGTAGTGTTTTATTTTTTTTATTTTTTTTGAGACATTGAACGTTCAAAATACATGATTTTACAGGAGAGTCATTTTTAAAAAATGACGTATTTCATTTTCTAACTACCTATAGCCATATGATTGGAAACCTGAAAATACCAAAAGATGTGTATTGTTTAAAGAGTATCTAAAAGAACTAAATATTTAATATAAATATAATTTGATCATATTCATTTGGGTTTGAATTGAATTCACACAGACTTTGAAGTTATATCCCTCCCTTCAAGTTATCTTTCTTATATATTTAATATATGTTCCCAAAGCTTGAAGAAGGGTTTGGTTGGCCCAAATATTAAATTGTACATTATATGAATAATACGGGTGCCATATGTAGTGCAGAATCTGCTGATCATACCGGACTACCTGAGACCACCTCTAGTTTTGTTTTAAAAGAGGTTCGTGTTGCTCTTGTGTTAGGTTTAAGTATTCTTCTTTGTGCTTTTTAATTTTGCAATGTCTGTTTATTTTTATACAAGTAACAGTCTCGACCATCATTTGTCTATGAAACCAGGTGTAATCCAAGATTTTCAGTTGTTTTCCATTCGTTTGATGTGTTTGAGCTTTTGATTTTGCCATTTGATAAGGGCTTTCCATTTTAAATTTTCCTTGGAGTTCGGTATTTTTTTATTTCATTTTTTGTCACGTCAAACGTGTTTCTATTTAAAGGTTTGATGAGGCTGACTTCATACAGGAACTTCTTAGGAAAGAAAAAAAAAGAAATAGCAGTATCCTTTAACTTTACTTTCCACTATACAGATGATGTCCTCTCACTGAATAATTCAAAATTTGGTGACTATGTTGAACACATCTGTCCCATCGAACTTGAGATAAAGGATACAACAGATACAGTTAAGTCTGCCTCATATCTTGACTAACATCTAGAAATTGACGATAAGGGTCGGTTGAAAACAAAACTTTACGACAAAAGAGATGATTTCAGCTTCCCAATTGTGAATTTTTCATTTCTATGTAGGAACAATCCAGCAGCGCCTGCATACGGAGTATAATTATATCTCCCGGTTGATACAATATTCCAGGGCTTGTTTTTCCTGTCATGATTTCCTTGATAGATCGTTGCTGCTCACAAGGAAGCTATTAAACCAACAGTTTCAAGTGGTGAAGTTGAAATCATGACTTCGTAAAATTTACGGACGCCATCACGAGTTGGTTGACCGTTATGCGATATCCGTTTCACAGATGATAGCGGATATGTATCAAATGTCAAACTTTATGAGTTTTAATGTCCCTTTGGTATCTTTCGCCTCTCTTTTTCAAAACCTATTAAGACAATCTTTGCTTGAGAAACGTAAACCTTATTTTTAGGTTAGTTACATAATTTTAAAATCGGAAAATGAACTGATAAAATATAATAAGGATTATACCAACACCGAATCACCGGCTACTTGTCGAATGGAAACCTCGGACATGGTAAGTACACAAAAAAAAAGCAACGTTTAAGTCTTTAAAATATAAATGGTTTGTGAAAGTATGATCTTTAATTTAAGGTATTCATAGTATAATACTAGAAGTTGGTACTGACAACAATGGTCATGAGATGAGTTTTAGATAATACCTGACCTTTGAGGGGATTTGTAAATTGACGACGAATAAGAGGATGCGATTGTGTGTATTGTTTAAAAAAAAAAACAAATATAACATTCATCTTCTAATCGTTTGTTACAAAAGAGTGTAGGAAAGTTTCAAACGTCGCCTGTCATTCCTTTTCCGAACCATTCTGCATAGATAAACTCATTGTCCTTAATTATCTAGCAGTAGGTCAATTCCGCTGATGTTGGACTTGTAGTGAGTCCCCGAAGGAGTCATCAGCTCAGTTAACATTGCTTCAGTACTGAAATAATAATTATAACAAATCTTTCTTAAATTCTTCATTGATGAAATTATGATATATTAAGAAACTACGCGTGCAACTCTTTCCGGCATATTTGACCTCACATTACGAAACTTCTTTTTAGAATGCGTTTGGTTATAAGCTCCTGAAGAATTAAGATACGTATACCTCCTTGGCTTAATTTGTTTGTTGTTGAGCGTTTCCGTTGAAAATAAACCCAGAAAAGCACCACATTTCATATACACATGATAAAGGTAGTGTTATTACACTATTATATCTTTTACTCAAACAGAATTTGTGATCTGAACCTGTCTTAAATGACTGAACAGTACAATAGTCAGTGCAAGGCTATGTTTGACCGCTGGACATCAGAGTCAGGGCCATGTAGAAAACATTCCAAATTCTGCTTCAGACTGTGGAAGACATGTTTGTGTCTCTAAATAGTATTACATGTACATGTAAATCGATTGTCAAGCAAACACACCATACAACTTTCATTTCCTTAGTATTATTTTCTCTACGAGCACAAACCTTCTATACGTCGACTACCCTATTTTTTACAAACGGAAGATTTCTTCGAATGAACCCTGTAATTTTGCTCATCGAAAAACGTAACATTTTGTTCCGCTTTGATTTAAAGTTAAAATCTTGATATTTTAGAACTGATGTGACACTATTTCATGAAAAAAATTCCTCTTTATATCTTTCATTTGAATTTGAAGATCATGTAAATGTAAGAGCTATAAGCA